TCCTTAAAGGTCTGTATGCATTCGACCTCATCATATTTCATACCTTCTTAAAAGTAAATTTTACTACCAAATGCAGATTTTGACATAATTAAGTTCACTTAACGCAAAATCCTACATTTTCATATTATCATAAGTAAGTTAATTGTTTGTCTTACACTATTCCAAACAAATAGTAATTAATAGACGCCCTCCATTTCTATTAGGTTGCAACTAAGTCATTACCGATTTCAAATAAGAAGGCAAATTCGGAATTTTTGTTTAAAAATATAACTTTATTCAATTAGATATTGGCCGTTNTAAAGAGTTTTGCATGGAACGAAACAAATGGTAATCCGAAGGCGCAAGGTCAGGGCTATATGGTGGGTGTGACAAAACATCCCAACCCAGTTCCAATAATTTTTGCCGAGTAACCAAAGATGTGTGGGGCCTTGCGCTATCATGATGGAAAACAACACCCTTCCAATTTGATAATGCCGGTCGCTTATCTTCAATTGCATCCTTCAGTTTTTCGAGTTCTTCAACGTACACATTTGAATTTATCGTTTGGTTCTGCGGCATGAGTTCAAAATACAAAATTCCTTTGTGATCCCACCAGACTGACAGCATAATCTTTTTTGGTGAATCTCTGCTTTTCATACTGTTTGGGCTGGTTGATCTTGCTTCACCCATGATCTCCTGCGAGTAACATTGTTATAAACTATCCACTTTTCGCCGCCAGTAACTAGGTTCTTCAGAAATGGATCATTCTCATTGCGTTTCAGTAGCGAATCACAGATGCTAATCCGTTGCGTCAAATGAATTTCCTTTAACTGGTGAGGGATCCGTAAATCAAGTTTCTTGACATAACCAAGGGTTTTTAATTTTTTCAATGCATGTATGCGACACATTGAGCTTCTCTGCAACATCTCGTGTTGTGCTGTGACGATTTGAATCGATAATGGCCTTGATATGGGTTTCATCCACTTCGACTGGACGGCCAGATCGTTGTGAATTTTTGAGTGAAAAATCACCGGTACGAAATCTTTCAAACCAATTTCGACACTGCCTTTCTTCCTCACGGCTTCATCTCCATATACGGCACATAACTTCTTTTGTGCTTGCGATGCGTTCTTGCCTTTTCGGAAGTAATACAATAAAATGTGTCGGAAGTGCACGTCCTATTCTTTCATTTTTAAATTGGGATAAAAACAAAAGTAAAGAACTAAACAAAAAAAATTTTTACTAATTAACCTAGAAGCCCATACAGTAAGAAAAAAATATAGGTTAGATGCTCTGGCCACGTTAACAAAACAGAAGAAAGTATAGAGTGAATCTGTCAACAAAAACGGCAATGACTTAGTTGCCAACCCAATACTATAGTTTGACCAATTTAGTTTTTCGCAAAATAAAGCATTGATCAAAGTCAGTTAGTCTGTTGCTGCTTAAAATATTTCAGTAGGAGTATTAAAATATCTTAATGCAATATTAAATTGACTTTATAAGCCGTGGCAATGGCCACCATACGAATTTTTTGTCACATTCTCTACGAAATGACATACTTTTTATCACACAGGCTATTTACCTCATTTATATCATCAGTTCAGCAATTTACTAGAACTAGGAACTAGTTGTGGGAACTAATCAAAGGGTTTATTATTATAAAGTTGCTTGCCACCTTGACTCAAATTTTGTAGTTATCGTCACAATGTTTACTGTGTTCTATCTACGTGTTCTCTGCAATGCATAAAAACCTCGTTTTTCTAATTTATTTAGAAATCAGGTAGCATTTCACATTTTACACTTCTAAAGTCCCTTGAATAAACGAAGAAAACTTGCGTGGGCCAGGGGTAAATTAACCAGGAAAAATAGATCTTTGTTTCCTTCTTCCAGCGACTTAAATGGGTGGAGAATGATAGCAATGATTCTACTGGAAGGTAGGCATTGGGCCTGGCTATTTTATTTTCACAACTATCTCAAAGAAGGACGATTCTTTTTACCAGTTTTTTTTCAGTCAAGAGTCTGATTTTGTCTATAAGCCATAATTAATCAACTTAAATTGAAACACACAAGAGAATTTTCTTGAAATAATGTAAAATTCGATCAAATAAAGGGTATTTAAATCTTAAAAAGTATGGAATCAAATCCTTATTTACATAATTTCACTTTATTCAATGGATTCCACTACATTAAGGATTTGATGTGTGGACGGCCGATGTGCAAGATTAAAGGCACCGATTTTAAAGAAACACAAACCTTCCCTCAAGTGGAAAGTTAGCTTACCGTTTTGGACATCAGATTACTATCAACACATAAGGATTTTGTTGCTTTATTAATAATGACAAATCATTCAAGTGTAGGAAATGGGAAGTGGGAGAGGGAATCGAATTGGGTAGAAAATTTGGCGTTTTACTCGAAATGGAATCCAAGTTCTGAATGTTTTCTTAATGGATATAACGCACTACTTTATGTTATAATGACGGGGTGTGTGATAGACTTACCTCCACGTGGTGCACCCTGGTCAACGTATACTCATACGGCAAAAAATTCTATTATTCGGCAGTTGACTTCCGACTTCGAAACACCATCACCTCACTGTATGTCATGTTCGACTACTTTCACAGTACTCACCTCATCTTTTTCACTCTACCTTTGTGTCTCTCTCTTTTACATCTTTGAAATACTCTTCTGTTCCCCTCCCCCTCCCCCTCTCGACTTTTTTTCACTTTGATGTTCCTTATTCTCTGTGAAGCCTGAAGTCAACTAAAGGGCTTATGATAACTATCAAAATGCCTGCCATTTGATATAAATAAATGTTATAATGACCCTGCATTTCCTAGGCGAATCCACGCTCATACTCGGAATGCAATCTTACTTCATGAATACCAAAATAGCTCAAAGATGATATTAACTCAATTTGTACTCAATTGGCCCGAACAACAAATCCCGTTAACATATGGCAATCATGTATTGGAGATGCATGCTTAAGTATAGCCTGTATTTATTTGTGAAGAAATAATATTTGCGAATTTACATGAAAAGGCCCTGGTAAATTTCCTCTTCCTTCAATATAAGAGCAGAATAGACGCAGAAATATTCAGACAGAGTCAAAACAACATATCTGTTAATAGCACAAAGAGATAATTGGGCCTTTTTGAATCTAGATTTGAACAGTTGGAATTGTCTGGACTGTGGAACCTTTTCTTGCTCTGTAAAATGTGTTTTCTGCATTTTCTTTCCTTCTTCTGACATTTCCCAACCAAAATAAGCCGAGACTATTGTGAATACAATATTTAGAAAAGGTAAATTATGACAACCGTGTTTTTCCCCCATGCAACTTTTTTTATCTGGTAAATTATCGAAACAAATGCACTTCAAATCAAAAT